ATTGTTCGCGCCAAAATGCAAAAACGCCATTCAGGCTCCTCCAATACAACAACCGATCTGACCTCATTCCCCTCGCTTTCACCGCCAGACAAATCTCCGACTCTCACCCGTGGTCTCGCGAATACATTGTTCTCCGGCGAAGACGAAGCGCAATCAAATGGGGGTGGGACTGGCCGTGGGAGGAAGGCTACGTTAGAAAATTTGACGACTGGGCCGTCGCACAAATCAGGCCGAGCTGCCCTTTTCGCCGATCCCGTCCCCACGCATGATATACCAGGTGCCCTGCACTTGGCCGATGATGCGCACATTGAACGGCTGGTTGCTGGGACAGGGGCCGTGAAGATGGTGAGGCAGTTCGCTCGCGATCTCGCTCAACGGGATGCTGAGATCTCGGCCCTTCGCCAACGCGCAGATGCAAGGGAGCGAGAGCTGAAGAGAATGCTACGGGATGTATCTGTGTCCAATCAAGACATTGAACGCCGTCTATATCAGTTGGAGAACCCGCCGGGCGACCGTGTCTCAGATGTAGAAAGCACTCATAGCAGCGATTATGCTGGTCAAACCCATTCTGGTCTGAATGGGCTGATGTCTCAAGCGATGGAAGACACCGTTGGCTCTCGGGCTCATGGTGACTCGGCAGAAGCGCAGGCCACGATTCGTGCCCAGCGGTCAGACAATGATTCCCGAGGCAGAGGAGCCACTGACAGCCGAAAGCGTCAAAGCTCGATTCGTGGCTGGCAGGAGTATCTTTTTGGCTCGACTAATACAAGCCGGAAAACCAGTCGCGCCAGTAGCATTATGAGTGATGTTGGTGAACTTGAAGAAGACGCCGAGCATCCCCGAGTGCCTAGCAATCCTGCAATGCGACGCAAGGCGCTTGACGAGCAGCTATTCCAGCCCCTGGATGGCCCAGCACGAAATGGACCGGCGAAGCGCATTGCTAGCACCTCCGCAAACGGCGACGATGCAAGCATTCATTCTCGCAAATCTTCACGATCTCTCGGCTCTTGGACTGTTAAGTTATTTGCTGGCAATCCCCAGTCGAGCAAAGATGCAAGCGATGCTGAGTCTACCCACAATAAGCCCCAGCAAAAAAGGCCGGACGGGGACAGAAGTGCTTCGTCAACACTGTCTGGCAATGCTAAGGGTTCAATGTCGGCAGTGGCCGCACTGAAGAAGATTAACAGCAATGTTAGTTTGCCTACCACTGGACGATCTGCAAGTGGATCGAGCGCCCAGGGCAAAATGAACTCTCCCGCCTCGCGACGGACTGCAGCTGGGAGCGTGTCTCAGGGCGTGGCATCGGAGACTACGGATAAAGGCTCCACAAATCTTGGGCCCGTTGAGATGGACGCCATTTTGCCCATGGAGTCGAAGCCTCCGACGCTCACCCCTATTTATAACAATTCCCAACCGGGTGAATTTCTCACTGACCGGTTCGGTTTTATCTATGATCAACATAGAAAGAAGCGCCAGAGAGAGGCCAATACTACTAAGGGTAGCATTCATCGTTTGAGTATAGCAGAAACTCTCGGTACTCTTCGAACTGATGCGTCAGATCATGAGGATGACCCCGAAATCACAAAACTTCGGCAGGGCGCTTCCGAGGCCTCGCGTTCTCTGCCTGACTCACCAGATGACCCTGAAAGCGGGGCCGTTGCCATCCGTCGCTGGCAGGACTATCTGAGGATCCCGTCTCGTCCTACAGAGCTATTGTCCCACACGCCCTCCGCAGGCCCGATTGTCGCTTTGACTACTGCAGGAGAAAATCGCTCTCATAGCTCGTCTGTTTCATATGACAAGGATGGGGCGCTGGCCGTCGGCTCCAGCGCACAGCCATCAGCGTCTACATCAGCTATCACGGCCGACAGTCCCGAATTCGCTGGTTTGTCATCGGATCAGCTCAAAGACACAGCCTCAAGATTTACTGTCGCAGAGATGGAGCCGGTGAAACTGTTATTGGAGCAGTTGACTGATCTCCATGATTCCCTGCAACGCGATCGAACTGTGAGATGGAACGAGTTCCTTCGCAAAGTGCGAGCCGAGCGCCGAAAGGAGGGCGAAGCGGCAGCCGCTGCAGCAACTTCCGATCGATCTCTTGCCGCCGTGGACACGCCAGAAGTCTCGCTCGCCGACGGCGAAGTTGTAGGTATCGCGGGTCTGGGTAACAAAGGCAAGGTTGGCCGAGCGAAATGGCGAGAATTCCGGCTGCTCGTACTCGGTGGCATCCCAGTTGCTCTTCGTGCCAAAACTTGGTCGGAATGCAGCGGGGCTTTGGCAATGCGAATTCCTGGGTACTATGATGACCTTGTGCATGGCGTTGGTGGATCGGACCCCGACCCTTCCGTCGTCGCACAAATCGACATGGATATACGCCGCACTCTCACCGATAATGTATTCTTCCGCAAAGGGCCTGGTGTCAGCAAGCTGAAAGAGGTTCTGCTTTCATACTCGCGCCGTAACCCCGAAGTAGGCTACTGCCAGGGCATGAACCTCATCGCAGGGTCTTTGCTGCTCATCATGCCGACTGCCGAGGACGCGTTTTGGATTCTGACCTCGATGATCGAGATTATTTTGCCCCAGCATTACTACGACCATGGCTTGCTTGCCTCTCGTGCCGATCAGGTGGTCTTGCGCCAGTATATTTCAGAGTTGCTTCCCAGACTCTCTACCCACTTGGAGGAACTGGGCATTGAACTAGAGGCACTCACGTTCCAATGGTTCCTTTCTGTCTTTACAGACTGTCTCTCCGCAGAAGCATTGTATCGCGTATGGGACGTTGTTCTCTGTCTCAATGTGACCAGCGCAGTCAACGCCTCCGGATCAAATGTCTCTGGTACTAAGGAGGGCAAAGACAAGACTACCAAGGTTGCCGAAAACCTTGCCTCTGGAAGCGGAGGTGGAAGCACATTCCTGTTCCAAGTGGCTCTCGCACTGCTCAAGCTCAACGAGCAGCAATTGCTAACGACCTGCTCGACCCCGGCCGCACTCTATACATACATCAATCACCAAATGACCAACCACGCGATCAGCATCGACGGGTTGATTCAAGCGAGTGAAGCACTGCGCAATGTGGTCCGCCGCGAAGATGTCGTTGCACGTCGTGCTGTTGCCCTGCAGGAAATGCGTGAATTGAGCAGCGGTGCAGGCATCTAAACCCTTTTTGCCTAATACGGAATTTCTCCTCATGGTGTTTCATTCATTTTCTCCTACATTTTTCACGCAATGCCGATACGACCTGAGCATGAGGCAAGGAGTTTTGGCTTTTTCTGTTCTTTTTCTTTCTTTCTTTCTTTTCTTTTTCATTGCGTGGAGCTATTTCCCTCGTTATTTTGTTTCGTGAAAGCACTTGTTGACATAGCCCGCGATTTTTTTTGTTGCCCGTCTCATACACCACCAACCCAGCATTTGAGATACCCCTAGATTTTACACTTGGGCGGCAGCACCGTTAGACTTGTTTGAATGAAATCCAATTCTTTTTCTACTATCATTACTCATGCATTATCATGAATCTTACAACTGTGAATCGTCTTATAACATGGTTCGCTCCAGGGCTCTAAGTTTCTTTACAGATTCCGATCATTAGCCACAGAATCGAAGTTATACAAGGGAGAGAAATGATTTGAATAATTTCTTCCATTTTCGCATTGAAACTGAAACCTCATGAGGAATTTCAAAAGCAGAACAGCCGGCATTGCACTTCAACGACAAACCCCGTACCACCAAGGGGAGCACTATCAAATTACATCAACTACTCAAACCGAGAGATCATCAACGACTGCTCAAACATGGCCCTTCATTTAGCCTGTCTCAGGTCTGGGCTGCCTCGTACTCGTCTCGAAATCAGTCAATGCCAGGGCATCAGCCCTCTCCATATACCGAAGGATCTCCAACTGGTGAAGTTTGTATTCGAAAGTCTGCGCATCCGAAACGCTTCTACAGAGCTCTCCATCGGTGCTCACAGGAGCTGTGACTGGGTACGGTGCTGTAGTCATGAACCTAGCCTTCAACTGAGGTTTGAAGGTGTCCCTGGCGATTTTCATTCTTCGACCATCTTCCGCGCCGGTATAGGGTTCATATCTGATGTTGGCTTGGTCCATGAGGCCTATTGATTGAAATCAGTCTTGGATTCTCTACCTTTTCAAGATTCTAGATTCTAACAAACGTACGTTCCATGTGCTTAATGTAAAGGCATATTCTCTGATATGTGCGTTGGAACTCGCGCTTCTTGATCGCTGCTCTGACATCAAGGTCCAGCATCCAGGCAATCATTGCGCAAGACAGTCCTGCCAATATCGGTCAACTTTTTCTCCTTGGAGGAATCCCAGATCACGTTTAGCCTACCGTCTTTACTGTAGCCATATTGTTCACTCAGATATGGAGCTGGCACTTTTTCCATGCGATTCACGAAATCCGGGGGAGGAATGTCTTCGGACGCCATTTCAAGTAAAATCACTAGGAAGAACGATTCAGAAGATATTGGATGGGCGTTGAAGAAGAGGGATTTCCTTTTTTTTTTTTTTTTTTTCTCCCTACGGTGATCAGCTATGAAGAGCCGAGTCGGCGTTCTCTTTGTTCTTCCCCGGTCTATCCCAACCACAGCCATTCTGATAGGAAATGAATTTTCTTTGTCCTCATCACGTAGTTCCAAGGCTCTCGAAAGTCAAATACCTCGACGTTGATGTGAAAATCGAAATCGGGCGGATGTTGAAACGTTCTGTGGGTAAAATCTTTGTTCTCAAAATAGATCTTGTATACTTCGACTTAGGTGCTTTGTTCCAAATCCCAAGGCTTTCTCTGCTTTCTCTAAACAGATTGAATGGACCAGATAATGTGAATAAGTCGATGACTCTATCTATCTTAGAAAGTCAAACGTTAGTGTCGCTCTTTTAATTTATATAACACGCTTTCTCTTCTCTTACCTATTTCCTTTGATACCACCATCTTTCTATCGTGTCTTTGACCTATTACATCTATTATATCTTTATTATATCGGCAAAATGAATTACGAACGCATGGCAGCCGAGATCCCTGCTCTCTATCGGCTATCTAGGGAGTCCAAAGGTAGTCATATCTTTTCATCCTCTAACCTATCACGAGAACTGATGAATGAATAGAGGCCGATCTCCTCAATGGTCTTTTAGGCTGGATCCGCAACGACACCTTTGGGAAAGTGGCAGAAGTCTGTGCTCTCTGGGGTGCAATCGTCCAAGCCAATAAGCACCTTGCCAAGGTCGATCGTAAGGAATATCATATGCCTCCTCTCTACCTTGTAATCATTGTTCATTGGTGCTAATCAAGTCTGGAATTTAGGGACATTGCAAGCACGTACAATTGAACATGAACACTTCAATCTCAAAGAAGTTCTGGATTCAGAGTTGAAGCAGGCCAAGGAAATGATGGCTGCTATTCCTGGTGGCAGACGTGCAACTACGGTCACTACCGATGAGGATTTTTCTCTTGCTATTAAGCGGTTGAAGTATCTCCGCGAGTACAAATAGTCTGCCTGGTAAACTCATAGACAGGGAGAATGTGGTCTCTGGCGTTGATGTTTTCTGTATATGTCATGTTTCAATCAGTCAAGTTGTCATTGTTTACTGGAATACTTCAAGCCTATGGTAGATGGCCGACCTTCTAGATAGTACGTAGCCACGGAATTCCGGTCCAAGCCCTATGACTCCATCTAAATGTCTTTTAGGGGCACTCGACCTAATCTCATAGAGAAACAGAGATAAACCCATGGTCTCGGTGTGGACAACCTTAACGAGTCTATAAAGGTAAAGAGACAAATCACATGGATGATATATACAAAGCTATACAAAGCCAGGTACCGATGGAAACCCCCATTCCATTTCCCTCCAGGTAATCCCGGTCAAGAATCGGGCAGGAATCGGATACAGATTTATACTATTATACTCCACACTTGGGTCTGCTCAGCCCCCAAAAGGGTCAGAGCCCTGCAAGCGGGGTTGGTGGAGATGGTGAACACAACCTTTTGATCAAAGGGTGAGCACGCTGGGCCCGGAAGCACGCTCTTGACTTTGGTTCAACGATTATCGAAAAAGCCGCAAATATTGGAGACGGTATGAAACTTCAGGCGAAAAGGGACGAGAGTGGTAGGTTATATCTTCTTTTCTCAGCTTGGGCCCTGATCCACCCAGAACTGACTGTTATCTAACACTGTGGTCAGATCTAGCGAGTCCATCGTTGGACGCAGTCCCAAATCCATCACATCCCGTGCAACGGCTTTGATTTGCCGCATGATCGACTGGGAAATGGCCCAGGTGCGAGCCAACGACTTGAACACACCGATCGTCAACGACAGACGGTCGCGGCTGGGGTCCGGCATTTGACCGGCTTTGACAGAGCAGGTGGCCAGTTGAACAATGGAGCTCAGAGTGAGCGCACAGATGAAAAACGGGGTGTGCTTAATAACGGGCAGACGGAAGGCAGCAAGGCGGGATAGCTCTCGGGCGGCCTTGGCGGCCTTCATGGCATGCTCGTTGTGGGAGAATGCAGGCACACTGATCGGGCCATGGTGGCCACATATGACTTCCGCAGCAACAGCGGGGGATGAAAGAAGATCGGACCGCGGGAAGTTGAGGTAGATGGCTGCGCCGTTCAACATCATGGTCGCCTGGAACATGATCTCATCCACGCTCCCGTCGGGTCGCAAGAGTTCTTCCTTGGACTCTGGCAAGTGATGGCCCCAACTACTAATGCGCGCATCAATAGCTTCCACGTGGTCCTGCTGGCCTTCGCTCATATCCTGGATCGCCACAACACGACCGAGAATCCGTATGGATTCAATACGATAACAGTATGAGGAGAAGTCACGCTCTTCTTCAGCGAACACGCGCCCGTCAAATTGCGCAATGGTCGGGGATGGTGGCGGTGGTAGGGCATCATGATAAATCCGCTCCTCGCATGGAAGTGGGACCTCGAGCGGAACTTGATTAGTTCGGTATACGCGCTGCACACCGAGGGCAGTCATGAGACCCTCAATTACGAAGAGCTCCCACCAAGTGCGCCGCAGAGACTCTGCGCGGATTGGATCCCCATTGCTTGCAAGAATCGCAAACGTCCCTTGATGCATACCCAGCTCGAAGGCCGAATCTACTGCAGCGGCTAGACAAATGCCGGCCTCGCCGCGCTCATTGTCTGAGTGAAGTACAATCGCCAGCAGAAGCAGCGCCTGCACCTTTTCCACTGACACATTTTGTTCTTGGACCATTGCGATAATCGTAGGCCGGTACGTGTCACTCGAGGCGGCCGGGGTGAAGTGGGCACCGATGAACTTCATTACCTGCTCCAGGTATGCGGGGAACACGTTGCAATATAGCAGTCGGTGGGGTGGCAGCATTGGATGGGCGGCGTGGAAATAATTATAGTAGATATCGAGGAGGTAGCCATCCCCGCCGACAGCCGAGGAAGAATCAGGAGTCAACGGTCCGCTGATCGGGTGAACGGATGGCATAACTGGCGTTGAAAGAACTGGCAGTCCAGGACTAGTTGATGCGGAAGAGGGTAATGGTATGGTTGGCGCATAAGTGAAACCAGCCTGCAAGGTCCAATCCACGGGGACATCGAGCATGCCTACCGGGTTGGGGTCCATGGGCAAGTAATCCGGCGAGTTAGCGCGGCGCTTTTTCGATGGACCCTTGTAACCTCTCCGAGACTTGGTATATTCACAAGGGGATCGGGCCTGTTCACATCGGCTGCAGACGGGAGTCCTGCCATCGCATTTAAGGTGTTTGTGACGGCACTGAAGACACGCCAGTAATGCGGGACCCGCTTTAGGTCCAGAAGTGGCCTGCAATTCGGTCATAGTGAAGAAAGATGCATATAGGAAATGATTAAAGGGAGAAAGTAGAATTGATTGAAGAAGAAGAATAGAGGGGAAGAGAAGAGATTGGGCGGGGGGAGAAGAATTGAAGATGTTCCAATGTTCCAATGTTCCCGGCAGAATGGTAATTCGAATTACGCACTTAGAGGGAGCACTTGTTGAACTGGGGAGTTCTCTCTTTCTCACTCTCTTAGGGAAGAGTTGTATAGAAGGCTATTCCTAAGAGAAGATGAGTAGAGAGGTAGAGAGGTAAGGAGAGAGACAAAAGTACCAAAGTACGTCCGTTTACTACATACAGTGGCGTTTCATTAGTATTTGCACCCCAATACTTCCACTCTTGACCGCTTTATCTTACCGCCTGCTTATTCCTGCTAGTATACCCCGGCTTCATGTAACTAGTATACGCTAATTCTAGAGGTTACTAATCTATTTTTCTCTGCTTCTACCTCTCTATCTAGTTAGTAGAGACTATACCACAACGTGTATAAGAGGCTATCAAGTACAAAGGGTGACATACTTATTACTAGATTTGAATAGTTGTGAAGCTTTCTACCGGCAGAAGAAAAGTGACTAATGTAACATGACTGAAATACATTACAGAATACATTAAATACATTACATCGTAACGTGGACTGAGTGAGTACTGACTGACATTACCCCGATAGCTCTCTCATGTTCCAGCACCTTATCAACAACTACTTCGTCACATCTCCCTCTTAACTTCTCTTCTTCTCAGTCCTGTCAATCATCTCAATTCACTCAATTCATTAAAGAGAAACTTCGAATCCTGCTTCTGGGGTACCCACCATTACACAACTACACTGTGTGTAGCGTCACTCGAACTACTGGCCGACGTGTCTTCTCCGATTATATCGTTCATCCCTGAACGCATTGTCTCTCAACGGTCCTTTTGTCTCTGAATTTCATCTGTCACCATTCACAACGTTTCTCCTTGACCCCCTTTCACAATGATCTCCGACGACGACCTCTACCGCCTTGCCATCTTCCTTGGCTCCTGCGCCATGATGATGATTGTCCTATACCACTTCCTCGATGTCAATTCCAGCGACGAGGAGCCTGAGTCCGCCGAATCAGCAAGCCAGATTAAGGCGGAGGGTGCGGTGCCAGTGGTGTCCACAAACAAGGTGTCGGCTTCAGGGAAGGAGAATTAATTCCGATTTACAACGCGTGGGAGAGAAGGAAATACAAAAACCCAACAATGAACCGAGATACCAGCGCCTACATCATTTGATTTTACTTTTACCAGCGAGTCAGGCACAAGCCAATTGTACACTACAGTCCAATCAATTGGAGAGAAAGGCAACTGTTGCCAATCTCATGGCTTTATTCATCAATGCTCTTCGAGTAATTTGACTTTGCAGTTCCTTGAGAATTCACTGTATAGAGCTCATAGATAAATCAGAACCTCTCGGGGTATCGTGAGCTTTGCCTACCATAGCAAGATGGCATATTATGATATTATTTTCAACGCCAGTTCCCATGCGAGCCGGTTGCAATGCAATAAACTCGAATTCCAGAAAGGCAAAGAGAGGGCAAACGTATCACAAAAGTCGATTCGACGCATCAGTGCTCCCCCACGAACGCCATTTCGCCACAATGCACCTTGCTCTGCCGAGCCGGTGTCGACAGGCGACGGTCACTCCAATCCATCTCAGGGCCGATCTGCTGCTTCCAATGTTGGCCAGCTTCGAGCAGGGCTTGTGCCTTGTTCTTCTCCGTCGATTTTCCATGGGCCTTGCTAAAGGCCTTAACCTGGTGCTCATCCACCGGCAAGACCATGGTCCCTTTGCGGGTACTGTGGTTACCCACAACGGAAGGGTGATTCGATTTTTTTTCCGCTAGAATATTCATCCAATTAGACATTTCCTTCAAATAAAAACCAAACTTTGCGTGTAGATCAGCCCCTTGGAGGGGCGTCCAGCGCAAGCTAGTTATCATTCTCACCAGTTACCGGCACCGCTGGTCCATCCCCAAGCTCCCAAGCCAATTTTGAGACGTGCTCGCTCGACAGATGCGTAAACATATCAGCCGCAGCCATTGGCGTCTTATTGCCGCAGTCTTGCCATTTGCAGACGAGAGAGTGTGGGATATGAACTTTGATAAGGTGGGCTCGAACCGACTCAATATTGTGCAGTTCTGCTGCGCACCCCTCCCATTTGCACGCGAAGATTTGGTAATGCACTGGTTGTTCACGGTGAATAGCAATTTCGATATTGTTCGATGCGTTCTTGGAAGGTCGCCCTGGTCTTCTCTTCGTGGTCATCTTGTCGGGTGAGATTGGAATAACAACCTGTGGCTGGGGAAGACGCCTCGCCTCTGGGGATTTGACGGCTCGACCAGAGTCTGACTGGCTCTTGACCGTCTGACTTTGAGGTTTAGGCTTTGCGGTAGATTTAGGGGTCGGTTGTTTAGTGGCAGGCGGGGGTTTAGGCGGAGCTGGGGTGTTGGTGGTCGAGGGGCATCGTTGTTGGGGTCGGGGTTGTTGTTGCGGCGGGGGGGTTGGGAGGGGGACGGATCGGTGGGGTGAAAACTTCGGGGAAGCAGGAACAGGGTCAATCCTAGGAAGTCCAGAAGGCAAGTTTGATGAAGAGAAAATGCGTTGAGGAGAATGATAAGTCGGGGGTTTGAAAGGTAAAGTACCCCAAGAGCTCAAACCGCCAGGAGGGGCGCGCGCGTCGATCCTTTCCAGCACTGCGATTTGGCGATTTGGCGGTGTGTCACGCGACGGCATCGAAGTGTGATCACGTGTGATCACATTATTTGGTATAACAGCGGGGTCACGTGCAACCGGGTGCCGAGCTACCTGCGGTGGTTGAGAATGAGGTGGTTGAAGAGGTGTCATGTGGGGTGCAGGAACCGGAGGAACACGATCGACCTGCGTTTCAGGCTGCTTGACATCTACCAGGTCCCAACGAAACGTTGCCAAGTTTGCAAAATAGTCGATTTTGGTGAAATTACGACGTAGTGGTTCAAGATGGTGATTTAGATGCTTTTCAGTCGGATGTTTTGCCGCAGCAATCAGGACATCCCGCGCGATCGTGGCCGGATCATAAGAGACCTTGGCCAGTGCATCGCTCCGTCTTATCGGCTGGACCAAGTCGTCACGATTCTTAAGAAATTTACCAGAGCCTCGAGGCCGGGCATATTCCGTAGAAACTTGGGCCTCTGGAACCGAACTTGCTGATTGGTTGTTTTTGAGGGTCACTGTTTGACTTTGACCATTGTCCAACCGCCGCATCTTTGCAAGTGGCATCGAATTCTCTTCGGTTGGGACCCACCGCTTCTGATGGTGATTTGGTCCCGGCAGTGGGTAAACTCGCGTCTGCATATTGCCCGCAGCAGGCTGCTGTGCCACAGCCGAGCCAGAGAAGGTACCTCGTTGAGGCCCTGAGGTATGCGAAGCCTTATAAGAAGGCCCCACGTGAGAAGCTGCAGGGGGAGCAGGTGACGCATGGGCGGATGGAGCCATCGGTGTGCTCTGTTCATTTGGTCGGGAGATCGGAGGCTGCTGGCTTGCCTGATTCGGTGACTGGTGTGATGACGTAGGTGCTGCGCTACCCAGAGTCCCTTCTTTCTCCTGCGTCCAGCCCTTGTCTAAATGATGTGGGACAATAGTTGTCTGTGTGGGGGTGCTAGAGGAGTAGAACCAGAGGCAGAAGTAGGAGCAGAAGTGACGAGAGAGATAGAGGGACTGCGGGTTGAGACAGGCTGTGATGTTGCAGGCTGTGATGTTGCAGGGCTGTGGACTCTATGAGGCGCCGTCGGCACAGTTGACTGCACATGATCTTGATTGTGAGATGAAGGTCCAGGTGGTATTTGGTTTGGTGTGGTAGAATTGGTACCCGGATTCTGTGCTTGTGAATTGGAGGCCTTTTGAGTGATTTTGGCTGGTGTGGTTGACTGGCGGGGTTCAAGTGTGTTGCGTACTGCGGAAGTTTGGGAACCCTTCGGCGAGACCAAAGGCGTATAAGACTCACTGTCTATCAAGGAGTGGGATCTTGGCGGTGCATTGGTGTGAGATGATCTTTGGACATTCTGAGCTGGAACCGTGGAATGATTTTGATATGGGCTCTGCAATGCTTGGGCCCTTGCCAGCGGTGTATGTTTCCCTTGAACTGGCGGCCTCGGGCAAGGTCTTTGCGCCGCAGCTGAAAGAGATTGTTGCTGGGTATTCTGCGCTGAGGTCGTAGATTGGCTTTGGTACGGGCTTTGGTACGGGCTTTGCAATGTCTCAGGGTTTGCTATCGGTGTATGTGTTCTCTCAACTGGGGGTGTGGGTTGTATTCCTTGCGCTGTAGTGGAATGAGGGGGTCGCTCGGCATTATGTGATGGAATTGTAGAGTGGCTGTAAGAATTACTTTGCGATGCAGCCGGCATGCGTGTTCTTTGAACTTGTGTCGTCATCCCTTGTTCCACGTACGGTTGCGTTGACATATGGGAATTCTGATTTGGGGTTGCCGAGTAGCCTTGATACGAGCTTTGTGATGTGGTCACAGCCCGTGCCATGGGTTGGTTTGTTCGATGTGCAGGGACTGTCGGCCTTGCAGTTTCATAAACCCTCTGGGTGTTTTGATAGGCATCTGAGTAGTTTGGTGTGGGGTTGGAAGTTCTCCATTGGTAGGAAGCGGGGTCCATACCCTCAGGTGGCTGAGCATCCAAGTGCTGTTGGGACGGAACGGGAGGATTTGGCTGTTGGTTTATATTGTGAGAGCGATCTGCTGAGTATACAGAGTGGCCAGAAGGAGGATTGTTGAATTGAGTATTGTTGGTTTGCTGGTGTTTATTTCCTCCATATCGTCCACCCGAGACACCTGAGACTTGTAAGGACACCTGGGAGGGACTTGAGGCATGATTCGTCCCAGGATTGGTTGACCTCATAAATGAATATGAATTACGTGCCTGCTGGTGCATAACGGCCGCTCTAGCTACCTCCTCCGCATCGTGGAATGCCGGATGTGTTTGATAAGCCTCATTGTTGGGATTGGGGTCGTGGTCGGGTTGACCATCGGCTGGAAGAAAGCTCCGGAGCCAATCGAATCCGTCTGTGCCTCCGCCAGACATTTCAAATTGAGTTGAAGGTGTCTGGCAGCTAGAATCTCATGGCTGGAGATGTCGTAGGACCGAGCGAAGAAAAGCTTTGGATGGAATCCGTTGCGCGTGGACCGCGGCCGAATAGGGAAAAGACGTGTATACCAAAATGGGCCCAAATAAACCTTCATGCGCAAAATTGAGACCAAGATTGAATACTAAGGCAAGGAAACTTCTCAACTCTGAACAAAGCGTGGCCAAAGAGCTGGCCTGGCGCAGATGTTGTCGAGGCGCATTGAGAAGCGCGTCGAATGTGGAGCCCGTCATCCACCAATAATATCACGGTATAATTATGCCTTGAGAATCAGGTGTCTAATTACAAGCCCTGAGATGGCTTAGCGGGAAATTAGTAAGCACACAATCCGGCTCCAACTTGGAATATTCGGCTACACCAGAAAAGATCCTCTCTTCGACCAACGCCAACGACACCCGTTCAATTCCCACTCACGACCTTTAAGATGGCTGTCCGAACCCACGGTGCGTACTCTCTCGCATCTCGCCTTGCGCCGACTTGATTTACCACTGCTCGAAACCCCTATCGATACGAATTTTCGCCAATCTTCAACTTTCAATACTGATGGTGTCTCCTCCAGGTATCGCCTCTTCGCGGAGCAAGTCTCGCAAGGCACACTTCCAGGCCCCTTCCAGCGAGCGCCGTGTCATCCTCAGCGCCCCCGTCTCCAAGGAACTCAAGGAGAAGTACGGAGTATGTACCACATGAACTCTCCAAAATCGAATCTGGGTCTGTTCGAGTCGAGTTTTCGGGATTGGAAACTACGGACGATGCAGGCGCCAGCATGACTCAATACCCGACGATTCTAACCAGCGTTCTGTGACAGATCCGCTCCATTCCCATCCGCAAGGACGACGAAGTCGGTAAGTTTGATTCTTGATGCAATCTGAAAATTACCTCAAGATCTTGAAACTAATTATTCTATGCAGTTGTTGCCAGAGGTTCCCAGAAGGGACGTGAGGGAAAGATCACCAACGTCTACCGTCTCAAGTTCTCCATCTTCGTCGAGAAGGTACGATTTCAATTTACATCATAGTTGCTGCGGCGGATACTTACTGCGGTTTTAGATCGTTCGCGACAAGAGCAACGGCCAGAGCGTTCCCATTCCTCTCCACCCTTCCAAGGTCGTCATCACCAAGCTGCACCTCGACAAGGACCGTGAGCAGATCATCGAGCGCATCGCTAAGGGTCGTGAGGCTGTCAAGAGCAAGTCGGCTTAAGGGATTTCTTACGTGTGGGGTATAGGTTCATGTTGCAATGGCGGTTGACGGCGCGGGTTCACTTGAAGGACTCTGAGAAACGGAGTTTCCAACCTGCTATGATCAGGGTAAAGTTTCTGAAACCAGGTGCATTGCGATGAATGAAAAATGAACAAAATTTTCCTTTTTCTTCTATCCGGAGTCGGTGCTCGCAAGGCAATTCACTTTGCGCAGCCGGTGTTCTTCTTCCTTCTGTCTCCCGTGCATATAGGAATGTCCGTCGAATGCTACAGCTCAATCTTCAGGTCATTTCGTTCTGTGTCCAGTTTGCAGCTCGTTCGGCCTCGCATTTCTTTTTCTTCGCTTGCTCGGTTCCGTAGCGACCTTTTTCCACTCATTTCTATTTCCAATTCCTCCCTATTGGAAACTAGAGGTGTCGCCTGATATATCTCCTCGTCAATCCCGCGCCTTTTAGGACGGACCCTATGGTTGAAGAGGTAAACACTTGGCGTAGACAATTTACAGGGCTACTGGGAAGCTGGTAGACTTTGTCTTACCTGCAGACTCACTCTGACGCTTTCGGGCAAGGACGAAGTGGGTTTGATGGTGAGGTACATATCTCACTCCAAGATGGGGTATAACTATAGGCTGTAGACTGTAGGAATTGGCTCTATATCTTCGATGTGGGGGTGGATATTTGGATAATTTCTATCAATCAATTGATTAACTTTTTTTTTTTTCGTATTTCCTCTGGGTTTTCCTCACATTTGTGTATCTTACGTAGTTATATCATTCCTTCGGTTGACTGTATATTGGACAGAGAGGCAAATTATAATGGCTATGGAGATGAACAACATTGACGTTGAAATGCGCCCTCGATGCTAGCTAGTAGTTTTTCTCTCTGGCCATATGTGCACTGGGGTAAATCATGGGACTTTTGACAACTTGGGCATTAAATTTAGTTATTTGACTTGCACAAAGCACTACATGTGTAGATACATATCAAGGCTGGATCGGAAATATATCTGTCGGGATGCGCAGTGGACTCAGAACCGAAAACCAATTGAACACCAACCACCCATGAAATATTTAGGGCTAGATAAATGAATTTAGTGTATTTAGTTCAATGGAGTTTTGGTTGAGATATTTATACTTGAAATTAGTAGTAGCTCGGTGGTATGCGCAGCTCGGTACATAGTGAAATACGTTATAACTGAGTTATATAAAATATATGCGTAATTCGATATCATAAAGAATACAAAACAGATAGTTAGCTTTAATATACAGATCTGAGTAGGAAAATGACCCAACGAGTAAAAGCAGAGCAAAGTCCGAAAAGGTAAGAAAGTAGATAACCATCGCATCGTGTCTCATGAGAAAGTCGGAAACCGAAGCAACCCCAGAAACTGGATATTCGAAAAAAAAAAAAAAAGAATAAGCAAAAAAAGCACGCTCGCTGAAATGGTCGACTAGCCACCTTGAAACTGTGCTAGTGTCCAACACACTTCCCCCATGCAGGTAGTCCACATCCCATACCAATGAACAGATATAGCAAGAAGATAACGACGACCACCATCATAATCATCAACTTAGTATTCTTCCACCACATCCGTCTCCGCAGTCCCCGGCTACGGATCCGGAAATCATGTGCACTCCCGCCAAGTCGATCAGTCTTGTCAACCAGCAGATCGATGCGCTCGCCGCGCTCCAGGACCCGCTCGATATTCTCAGTCATTATATCCCGGACGCTGTCAATCTCGCGTCGGGCTGACGCAAGCGAGTCTGCTGGCGGGGCGGTGTTGTAGGCTTGTAGGAGAGAGCGCAGGTCATTGTTGAAGGCAGCGCAGCCGTAGGCGGGCAGTGAGCCGAACTCGGTTGTGGATGGTTCGTAGGTGGTCAGGAACTTGCGCTTCATTTCTAGGAGGTAGGCGAATGGGATGCGGCGGCCTTGCTCTGCCGATGCAACTACCACGAAACTCAGGGGGGCGTGTGAGTTGGGCTCTGCGAGGTTGGCATCGTCGGATTGGTGGCCCTTTGGAGAGTCGGCGATGTAATGGACAAAGAGCCGTTCATGGGTGAAGGTGAGCTTTTGTGGCTTGTCATGTGTGATCTTTGGGAGGATGATGGAGGCTAGTGACGAGGCGGCGCTCGATGAACTGCCCGGCGAGGAGTGCTCGGCCAGAATGGTAGTGCGATGCGCGATGCAAGAGCTGGAGTTGATTACGTTGTTAGTCTGGGAACAGTTTTCTTGATTACTTAGATGTCGGACGGCAAGACTTACTAGAGCAAAGAGCTCGTCTTGGAGGATGAAGCCATAGTTCAGTGGCCGTGAGGTCAAAGATAGAAGGAACGTTGCAGAAAAGAGGTCCAAGTAAAAGTGACAGAAGAACTTGTAGTTTTCAGGCGCTTGTAGAACCCAGATATAGAAGCTCAGTTATTTGAAAGATCTTGAAAGCTGGAGAACCTTGCATGGTGGTAGGCCTGCCCAGGTCCACTGCGCCATCCGCTGAGTCAGCCCACCTCGCGCCCGGGCCCGGGCCCTGGGTCGGTTAATTAGTTATAGGCTTCCAAGGTTGTTACTGACTCTATGAAAATCATTGAAACACCATTTAGAATCATTATTTCTTGCGTATCCTGGTAATATTCTATGAAAACGGAAACGTTATATACAATCCTCTATTGACGTTATATTGCAGTAAAATTTCAAGTCCTCTTCCAAAGGAGAGAGAGCCTCATTTTGGAACTTTTCTTCTGTTAGTGATGTATATACCGCGTCGAGGTCAGTTATATATGGCAAGACACTATTCTTATATTTGGGCCAGAGTCCATCTCATTTGCCAAGCGTTATGCTAATTCTGGTGGAAGGTGTGCCATAGTTTATGTAGCTAGCTTACTTAGCTTACTTACTAACTAGTTATTAAATCCTTATACTAGATATTTACGATTAAGCCGTTTAACTTGTACCAATCCCCTAAATCTATTTGAATTTACTGCTAGTTTTGCTTTATTGTTCATCTTTCTTGATTACTCTGTACAGTACAGTCCTCACTTTTCGTTCACTGAGGCTTTTTAAAGTTTGCCAATCACTCTGAGCCGCACTGCCGCACTGCCGCATATCACGACTCCACCTTCAGGACCCATCTAAGGTCACCTCTTTTTATCCGTTCCCAACTCCTCCATCAGATTTGGCAAATTCTTTCATCAATATTTTGCCAAGGTGGACAAATTAGCACCTCCAGTCTTTTATTTCATCAACTCTTTGGCCTGCACCTTTACTTTCCACTGATAGCTTCGCACCTTCGAACCATCACCATGGCCGAGACATCCACTGAACCCAGATCTGAAACTCCGCCTATCACTATGTGTGACAAGCCTCTCCACGAGAATCACGAGCCTCGGCTTGGTGACATGTCTGATGTTCCCGCCGCAGCCAGCCTGGACGTTGAAACCAAGACCAAGTCCGACTCATACTCTCATGAGGTCCCTGACAATGGTAGCGCTATCAAGTTCCATGATTCGTCTCCTAACAGTTCCGACTCGTCCTCGCCTAATAGCTCATCCCCCAACAGTGTTCACACGACCTTTCCAGACAGCAACGTCTTGAAAACAAGCCATTTGCCCGAGGATAGCTCCAAGGAAAACCAAAATACTCAACCAAGCACCCTGTGTGACACATCTTCTCGGTCTGATTCCGACGGCGAAACCGTTATTTTGGGGAACCCCACTGCTATGAATGAGAATTACTCTGACAAAGCCTCCCCTAATAACTCCAGCGCCGAAGATTCCGGCGCTGTGTCTGGTGCTGGCATTCAGATAAACCCTGACGTTGAGAGGAGCGGCACTCCGGATTCTTTCCGTCACGATGGCTCTGACTCGTCCTCTCAGGGTTCCACGACAACCTCCCCAGTTTCCCCCCGCTCTATCTCACCCGCTAGTTCAACTAGTACGGCATTCCAAGTCCCCCTCGACACCGATGAAGACGATGAAGATGAACCAAGGATCCCCCAAGGCTCTCAATCAATTTGTGCATATGCTTCTCCTGTTCAAAATGGCTGTCGCACTCGGACCAGCTGTGATAGGAATGATGACACTGGCAGGTGGCATGTTGAACCGGATGGATTTATCAACGAAGCCAGACGGGCCGGAGGGCCATACCTTTTCCCTTTGCCCGTTGACACAAACAGATTGAAAATTAATGATCCCCTTCATGACATTCTCGAGGATTGTACGGTTGTCCAACCAATAATGTCAATTCTCGCTGAACACGGAGTCCACCCACTCTCAATGAGGCTCAGAAATTGCGAGTACAAGCTTTTCAATCGGTTCAACTACTTGCCAACTTTGATTTTCTCTGCAACTCGTGACACCTTCGATGACTCTTGGGTCCAGGCATGCCGCCAAATCTGGACTCACTTATCCAATGTCGGCCTTGGAAAAGTCAATGTTGAGATATCGGAATTCGAGATCAAGCCAACTTTCGTGTGGTCAATGCAAAGGACTGACCGCGTTTGGCCAGTCAACATTGATTTACTTCTCAGGATACACGATGAAGTTGATGTTACGGGAATGGTCCGTCTTGGCATAATCCGTGAGGGGAACACTGATAGCAGAGAGAATCTCCCGCTTACTGTGAGCATGGATGTAGAATACGATAGCGATCGAGACTGGCGCGGTACAAGGGATCATATTGTGGAGATTCTGGATGACATGAATCTCCCTATGGTTGGGGTCACCATCATGAAGGGCGGCAAAAACTTCCGGGGTTAAAATAGCCGACCAGGACCTGGCCTCGGGAGGACATGATCGGGACAAGCAAGTTGCGGGCTGGGAAAAACTGCCTAGTATCAAGGAATAATCAGACTGGCACTATGTGACTCACTAGTTATTGCTAAAACTACGATCTTATGGATACCTAGGTAACCTATTGCTAAAACAGACTAAATGCAAAAGCTATGGAGATTTTGCCGTTTCATTCATTTGATCCAACTAACTGATTAAATATTAATCAGGGTAGATGAGGACCACAGAAGTCTAAATGCGGAAAAAAGGCAAAGAACAAAGAACAAATAAACAAAGAACGAATAGATAAAAGAGACAGACGCTCAGCCCATGTAAGCACCGAAAGCTAGGGGATGGCTGACATCAGCATAGTGTGCTGAGTCAGTAGCCGGCGAACCGGGTCACAATAAAACAATTTGATGAAAACGAATGGAAGAGAAGATGTCGATGTCCTAGGAAGAAGTTCCAGGGCGGTTCATCTTAAGCCGAACATCAGTGGCTTTTGTGATGTTTTTTATATCCTCTATGAGAACTTCCATTGGGGTGAAGTAGGACATCATGTGGTTAACACCACCGGCGAAAAGCATGCCGACAACCACATGGGACATAGTGAATACGAGCGAACCCGAATCACCCTTATGGGAGTACTCAGGGGTGTGCAGCGGGTGGATGCAATGTTCAAACGTGGTTCGGTTGATCTCTACTCCATCCTGGATTGCATGGTTGAGAATGGCTGACCTGAGGGGGCTCTTTGTTCCCTTTCGATATCCAGACCGTTGACCGTGAATGAAGAGCTGCACTCCTTCAAGGCTTTCAGGTATTGGGGAGTCCCTTAGATCATAACCGTCGGGTGTCTGAGGAAGAGATGATGTTAGCATGTGCTTCAGACAAAACCACTCTGAAAAAGGATGCCGAAGAAGAAAAATCTTACCACATTTTGCCCTATCCGGTCGTCTGGAACTTCAATAAGTGCCCAATCGAGGTTTGATGTGGGCCTTCCGGGGACTGGAGGTGTTGTTCGAAAACCTGATGCCGCGTACACGTGTCCGAAAGCCGCACGGTTGTCGTTTTTGAAGGTTTGGATTTCATCAAGAAAGTCGTTGAGATCGGACAGCGTATCCTTCATTCTGGTAAAGGTTCGCGCTGCAGTCCGGCCGAATACGAACTCGATATCCTCGCCCTCCAATTCGCGGAATTGGACATATTCCTTGTCTGTTTCTATTGCTCGAATTTCGTCTTTAAGGGAAACAATCCTGTCTTCAATTGCCATGGAACTCGGGTGTTCCATCTGAAGTTCTCTTCTGAGGTCGTCATCTGGTTTAATCCCATTTTCGCGCCACTTCCGCACCCTTGTGACGAGGTCGGGGCGCAGACCATTCTCACTAGGGTTCACGCAGTGGAAACAGGTGAGGCCCAAGGTCTTGTAGTCAGATTGACCCGGTAGCTTAAGCTCTAGAAACCCGCCGAGCGTTCCTGAACCATTCTTGCCTCTCGGTGACTTTGGCTGATCATGGACGGTTGGTGGAGAACACGTCGGTCAAGCTGTTCGTTATCGATAGCTGAGGCTCCCCGAGTAAAGTCCCCATGGACAAACTCGACTGCCACACTTGACAGGCGAATTTTGTCGAGGAGTGCTCTGATCTGGGCAGTCGAGGTGCATCGATGGCTTGGGGGGCTCGAAGAATTACAGACGACGAGTACGGTGGTTGTGAACCCCGGGTCGAGACCTTTCTTCCGTAAAACACACGTGATAATGCACACTCCAGTGTGATCAATCTTTCGGACAATTTTACGGAGGAGAGATGGCCACTCTCGGCAGATGGGGTCATTCCTCGACACTGGCAAGTATTTAGCGGTAGAGTTAGGCTCCGGGGCCTTTGGGGGCTGGGTTGACCTTGGGCTCTTTGCCCTGTCATATCGATGGTCCTTCTTTGACGACTTCGGATACGGCATGGTGGTTCAGAATGAGGGTAGCTTGGTTAAAAAAAAATGCGAGATTGAAAGAAGTTGAGTGAGAAAACAATTGGTATATCACGGACGATTGCCCCCCCCCCAATCGTCGGACTGGGAGGGTTGATCAAACGGACAAATATGCTCACGAGTGATATCGCAAATGGTTCTAAGTTTTCTAGAGCTCAATTATGAGGCGAGGCCAAATGAGAAGTCGAGGTGCATAATGCAAGTTGAGTTGAGTTTAAAGAGTTAAGACAGCTGGCTTCTACATATATAGACTATTAAATCTGACATCCATTTTCTGTATTTCTAATTTAAGGATAGCAGTATTTCTTTCAGCTTCGGTTTTAGATCCTCAAACACTTCTCAGTACGAAAGCTCCAAGAGAACGACCCCCAAATGAAAATAGGCATGGAATCGATGCATTCAACCAGGGCCTTGGAAGACTTTGGGATATAGAAGTCAAGTCTATATTACGGGGTTCAAAGCTGTGTTGAATCAAGGAGTCATCGAAATCAACCGTGAAATCCAATGAACGTAGGAACAAGATATCATCTTCCATCAAAGGGATAACGTCCTAAGGCGATACGAGTCGGTCCTCTGGAGGGTATCAAGGAGTAAGGGAGGACGGATTTTGTGCTCTGTAGGTGCAGGGCAGAAAACGTTCTGTCAGATTCAATTCAGTTCAGATTCAGTTCAGATTCAATTCACTTTAGAAGTCCCTATACCTATATAGTGAATCCTATATAATTAAGCATCACTCTTCTTCCTCCAAGCTGGATACCTATGGTTTGAAGCTATCTTGCTTTTCTAAAGTCTCTTATTTGCAGCTACTATCATGGCACCTCATACTCGAACGATCTGCTTCGATGCTCGATTGCTCCGCGGCCTTGTAGGCACTATCGTCACCACATCTGACCTTGTCTCAGATGGCTCATCACCAGAACCTACCTCCCTCGCCCCTTCCACTGAGCCCTCTCGCGCTACGACCTCTCCTGTTTAACCCTACTCGGGATCGTTGTTCTTGACGGAATAAGCTATCACGCAGAACTTGGGCCAGGAATACAGTATCGATGTTTTTGAAGTCTAGTAGCCTTTGATGGTACTCCATAGGCCTGATACGATGTAGCTGGCCTATCTCACTTGCGATGAGCCCCAGCCAATCCGGTGACGATGATGGATTTATTATTGTTGCGCATAGGTTGGAGATGACTTCATAGTTGGAGCTTGAGAGTGAGGATCGGCAAACCTCACTTGAGCATGACGCTCAATGTCCCGACACAGCTTTTGGTTTCATCAGTTTTCCAAGGCTCCATCTCAATCCCTCGCCAGTTTCTCAAGGAAACGCAATATTAGAAGTAAATACTGTGTGAGAATAGAGGCCTTTTGCGGTAGTTTCCGCATTGCGAAATTCAAGTTTCAAGTTTACATCGCGCCGCAGCATGAAATTGCAGCTAGCTAGATGATGCTGGAAATTTGTTCTAAAATATCTCATACAGATCAATCGCGTGAGAACGGGTTTGGATGTAGTGCATAGTACTTCTCCATGAAATACGATGTGTAGCTGTTATAGGTTGAATACTATGGATGGCATAGCTACCTCATATTAAATGCCTGGACGGTACAAAGAGAGAAGTAACTGATATTCCATTCTGAGCGATGCTATTTCTCATGCAAACATTATGCTTTTCTAATTCCAACCAAAAAGAAAAAAAGATAAAAGAAAGTAAATCAGCAGGGCATTTTAAACATAGTTCTAGACATCGACGAATTCAAACTCAGTCTCATTACCTTCACCCTCCACCTTGTCTATTTTGATATCCTCGGAAATACCAGTAAAAGAAGGCCCAGGTGATCCCATATCCATGGTGATGGTGCCATCACTCTGTGATCCGTTTTCACCATCGTCGGTAGTCAGACCAAGATCCAGGGATGATACCTCATCATCATACTCGGTAACCTCCATGTAAGTATCCGACTGCGCCTTATCCTGACTCTCATGATTCTCATGTTTGAGTCTAAACTGGGAATAGTCGGTAGAGTCCACGGACATGATATCCGACGCGTGACTGTAAGTGGCGTTGTGAGATGCACCATAAATGGTACTATGGGTGTCACTAGCCACGATCTCGCTGAAAGAATCGTTGGCGGAGGCGACACTGCCAGTGTGTACGGCGGGTCCAGGAGCTGAGAATCCACCGAAGTCCATGGCGGGAATGATCAAGTCGGTGAAAACACCACCCGTTTCATCGTCATTGCCGCCCGCCCATAGAGGTAGATATTGGAATTCATTGTATGTGAGGCAGCCTAGGGTATCTGTGATTTGGTGTCGCATGCATGTGGGTGGGCTAGATTGCAGCAGCATCTCGAGTGCGTATTGTCTCAAGAAAGAGTAAACCTCATTTTTGAATGTCCTTTCGTCAAACATTTCCGCTGAAATATCTGTCTTGGGTGGCATTGGAGATACAGGCGGAAGGCACGGGGTGGGGGTGGGAGCAGGGATGGGACTGAGGAAAGGGCCGCTGTTGTAGGTGCTGTCAACATCATTTCCGGATTGTGACTTCCGCACGTTAATGGCCATCTCCATCTTAACATGCCCACCCGCATGTCGCGCAGCCAGAGTTTCTTCCTCGTGACGAGCCTGAGCTCTGGTCCTAACCGCTTGGTTGAACACATGACTCATCTGGCGAATTTCACCAAGAGACACCTGGCGAATTCTTGCTGCGGTTTCAGTACCAAAGGCAAGGGAGCCATTGCCGATTTCCGCTATGGAAGAATGGGACTCTAGACGAGGTGCTTCATCTTGATAGAGATCCAGCGATACTAGCGCATTCCAGAAGTTTTGCCCGATTAATCGCTGAAGAACAAATCCCTTGTCTATGCCCCATCGGTGGTATGGGTTTTCGGATCTCACCAAGTTTGGAGCCACATGGAATGAGCGATTTGTGTCTCTTCCCTTGATCAAAGCCCCATAGATGCGGTCTCGAATGAATTCCTTCAGCGTCGTGACTAGTTGACATATGATTCCTTGATCTGCAGGATAAAGTTGAACATGGCGGGTAAGCTTCTGGAACTCAACAATGCATGCCAACCAGGGCATTTCATTCCCGGTCAACTGTAAGAAGCACCGAACAACGTAGTCGCCGAAACTCTTGCTGGCATACTCGATACGCTGCACCTCGGTGTCGTCTAGAATATCAGAAATTCGGCTCCGCACCAAGCTTTCCATGGACCCGATTGGCTTGAATCGTGTGGCCCGAATCAGGTACAACAGGGCTTCATCCCCAACCATTTTGACAAAGGCGTCTCGACAGAGGCAGGGCGATTCGATACCACATGCCACTCGATATGTCACCTCGGGATGAAGTTCGATGAACCGAGTGTTGTTGAGTTCATAGAACCACGAGATGATGTGGTCGCAGATGGCCGGCACTGTAGCCACGTCAAATATTTTGGCGAGGGCAAAAAAGGTCCACATCTTGCAAGGAGTGTCTATTCTAGGGTTTAGTCCTTCCAGAACGTGAAGAATGTGCTCAATGCCTTCACGATGACGGGAGGCTGAGTATTCCACCGGCAAGCCTGCCTGTTCTACTGTTTCAGGCGGTGATGCCGAAAATTGGTCCTGCGAGTCGACTTCAGCTTCAATCCGGTCATTTTGCGAATATTCAAGGTGGTGGACATCGGTATCGGCCCCGGGCCCAGGCGATGCTGTAGGGGATTGTGTGGGCTGCTCAAAAGGTTCTAAATAATCTTGTCCCCCAACACAAGACGATGGCAGGCTCCAGATATTCTGTTTTGAGGCCCATGTCCTCACGCTCAAAGGGCAGGAAAGCTCGGTTAGGAAGATAACTGCATCTTCTTCTAGGGTTGGGGGTGTGAGGTCTAAAACGTATCGAATCCCATCTGGAAGTTTGCCAGTCAATCCGCGTCGCTTTCGGACCCGGGTCTGCATTTGTGGATTGAAGAGTCGTTTGAAGTAGGCTGAGCCTGTAGCCAATAATTTCTCGCTGTGAATGCGATGGGGAACTGTTTGTGGGGAAAGAGGCAACTTGGATCGAATCATCTCCGGAGAAGGGTCAATGAACACCATGGTATCTGCGCCATGGAGAAGAAGTAGAAATGGCATTGTTGTAAGGTTTAAAAGTGATTCCTGAGAATCCGAGTGACTTTTTGGAAGCACCGTGGGGGTATCGGGGGTGCTTGTAAAGGTTGAGATGGGGCCAGAATCTCTTTTAATGTCACTATTCGGTTCCTGTTGCTGCCGTAGGAGCTGAACATTTTCAGTTTCTCGAGGTGTGTAGTTTGAAGGGCGATGAGGCAGCTCCATTTTGGACTGAGGTTCAAGAGGCCAGTATTATGAAGGAGATGAGATGAAGATGCAAATGACTAGAGAATAAAGTAATAGTTAAGTTAAGAGTAGGAATGTTATAATCATAGTTCGCTACCTAAGAATAAGAATAAGACGAAGATGAAGACGAAGATGAAGATGAAGAAGAAGAAGAAGAAGCGGGAGAGCTGTGGAGAAATGGGGAATGAGGCTCTGCTGCCTAGAGGTACCCGACGGAGTACAAACAAGGTCTTGGTTATCTTTCACCTACATATGTGTATACACCTGTAGATATATCCTTTCACCTCCTATACAATATGTAGATATATATTCTTTTACTGATTTCCTAAAATCCCAGAAGAATTAAAAGAATTACCTAGCCCCCAAAATATGGACTTGTCCGTAACTTTTCCATATATAACATGTGAAACTTATGGGTCTAAAATGGTAATACTGCTATGTTGTATACCCTTAATACCGGATATCTTTGCTTTTTCTCAGGTAGTCGAGTTAGGCTGAATAAATTTCAGGCTAGTTACATGTAGTTAGTTACGAATCCGTGGGGCTGTGCTCCATTTAGTACTTTCGATTTGCAATTCTTCGATTCAACCACATTCTGGAGTACAACCTATTTTGCTATGAGTGGAATCAACTGCTCATGTCCCAGCTTGAGACTGTCACAGTGTGGAAAAGGTTAGTATTGAGATCTCCTCCAAGGATACGTGGACAACAAACTGAAATCTTTTTAAGATGGGACTTGGCAAACAAGTCAAGCTTATCCTGAATCCTTCAGCCCACATTACGGAAACCCCTCCATCACCCCGGACGCTCAGATATGCTTGATGTTAGTTGAATATCTCTGTTATGTTTTCATATATTTTCATATTATCCTATTACCCTTCGCACTGCTAAGGTCAACAGATTCGCAAGCGCAAACAAGATTCGTACATGTCAGCGATGTCGCACTACGTTTACCCAAACCTTTCAAATGCCCGAAAAATGGTGGTCTACTTCCTACAAAACGTCTAATGGATATTTTGGTTGTGAAACTACCCGTCAAGCAGGGGTTGTCACAGGCTTTAGTAAGTGACCACTAGGTGGACCTCTAGGGCTGAACCGAAAGTTTACTAACTTGATGTATAGATACATGGGCATACTTTGAAATAAAACATGTCCGAGCCAACTTGACGTACGACTGGATCAAACTGAACATCTTCACCCGATGGGTAGCTTCCACTAATCAGACAATTCTGTTTCTTTTCGACCCGGCACTGTCCATACAGGAGTTAATTCTCCAGTCGCTATCGAATTCACCACCTTCTCACTCTCAGTCGAGGATTCCATTTTGGCCCTACTCGCACGCCTTCGAGATTATAGCCAACCTCGAAGAGGCCGCCGTTTGGGCGATCCGGAACCAAGTGAGGGCGATTGAAAAAGAGACAAATCCAGCTATAGCCCGACGACCAGATTACAGGAGAATGCACGACATTGCCCGCCACGCTATACATGTCAACGAGAATCTGGATGTCTCGGTACAGAATATTGAGACTATCCTAACCCACTACGCTCTTTATATGATATCAAAACGGGAAGAGTCATACTTGGGCGCAGACGAAGACATCCGTAATCAACTAGAATTCTTTCGAGGCTATATCGCAAATCTACGCCAACGCTCATCTTCCAATGAGAAGCGGCTTCAGAACGAGATCCAATTAGCCTTCAATACTGTCGCCCAGGCTAATGCGGAAACCTCTGTGGAGATAGGTCGTGCCGCACAGATCGACAGTTCGGCCATGAAGACGATCGCATTTGTCACACTCACCTTTCTCCCGCCTACTTTTATCTCGTCGATTTTTAGCATGTCATTCTTCCAGTGTGGGGACAATGGCTGGGGCATGTCAAACAAGTTTTGGATTTATTGGGCGGTTGCTGTTCCAACAACCATTGCCACGGTCCTGATTTGGCGGTACTGGCATAAACTTGTTCCCAGTTTTCATCACAAGCCAATGGGGGTTCCTAGGTCTAAAGAACGGGTATAAGTCTTCCTTGGGAACCTACACCATGCATATATCTCGATAGACACCAATATAAAGATAACTGCTCTAGGTATTGGTTAACTGGAGCTTAGAACAACCCGACAAAGAAAGTCTAGTAAAAGAAAAAGGTATCCCAGACATAACCGAGGAAGAAGAGAGGGTAGTTCAAGATGACTTCGGGAAAGCCCGCGAGAAGTGGCGGATACTATTAATCACCATGTGCTCATGTCCATGTCATTCTTTTCTTCTTACAAGGTTATTGTACTCTATAGATACGTACTGGGGAAGTTTTATTTCACTTCTGAGCAATTGAATTGAATCTCCTCAAGCAACTTGCGCTATCCCCAAACAACCCCATCTACAATCCCATCATGGCTACCATGACAGAAGCCGTTTATCAAGGTCGGAAACAGATGAAGTCAGTATCTGCCTAATGAGTCCATGTTCGTCTCTACTAACACAAAAGAAAATCAGACCCCGCAATATCGCCCTATTAAGCGTTTTCGGGGTCGTCAGTGGTACATTTCTGATGTTCCGCCTCCTAGCTCCACAGCGTGGCACGCTCAATACAAAGGAAGAGATATCAGCGTTTCAGGGTGGCGATTCCAACCAAACAGAGCGAGAAATACCTGGACACACTGCCCACCCGCCTCGAAAGTGATAGTTACCGAGTGCCCAGAGGAAGCGTAAGTGTCCAAGGGATAAATGCTGTCTGGGAGCATGAACTATACGAGAAAATAAAGCATGGAGGTGGATTGAAGGTTTAGAATATCAAGTTTTCATTGTACTTATGTGTGGATTGATGAATATTGAACCTTGCCGTTATGTACACCGAATGAGATGGTATCTGGTATCCGAAAAACAAAAAGCCAACGCGCCAGGGACAAAAACAGATATCCGTAAAGCAAAGGAGCCTCCCAATCAATTTACAGGAGATTTTACATGGTGTTACCACCAAAAGGCAGGATGTGCTGAACAATTAAGTAGACGGCAGAATATCATCACCGGGTCCGTGTCCTTTGAATGGGCTTCCACCACTGCCAGCCCGGCTCACGGGCGAATTGATGCTTTTCTTCTTCGGGTCTTTCTTGTCACGCTTCTTTTTCTCACGTGTAGCCCCCCGGGACTCATCGGGTTGGCTTGGACTGCGACTGGACTCGCTGCGGCGGAGATCTTTGAACTCTTTGATCACCTCACGGAATCCTTCTTCGATGTTGTTCATGCGAGCTAGAACCAACTTGCTGAGCATGTCTTGGGTTTGGGTTGGGGCTTCACGACGAATAACGGGTGGGGGAAAGCCTAGTTGGGTCTGGAAACTAGAGGGAAGGGCACCGGGGAAGCCATCTGCCACGGCCTTGTTGTCGCCTAGGTCAGATCCTAGATCGAAGAGAAGGGATGATCGAGGCCGTGTCCCTGTGGGCCGATCAGATAGGTAGACACTGTCCAACTCAGGAACAGACATATGGTTCAGTCCAATCGGAGGGTTCCGAGGACGAGGTACGTCTAGAACGTGACGCTTCATGGTACCTTGGTCTACCGAGGTAGAGGTCACAGGGGCTGATTCTCCATCAGAAGAATCGGCATCTGGCCGTGTAGGTGTGACCCGGCCTTCCGTCTCTTCGTTTGGAGATCCAACGGGATTGTACAGCATAGTGACCCCAGAAGCATTCCGCGTATGTCTGACACGACGTGTAGGGCTGCTGCGACGCGACATAAGTCTTGCCGTAGATGGGCGAGAGCTGTAGAACTTGGGCGAGGGTTTCTCTGCGCCTCCAGCCGAGCCGGCTGCCTCACCCGTGGACCCTTGGGCCGAGGGCTTGCCATCATTCGAGTCATCATCGTTGCTGGTAAGTTCATCATCACCCTCCATGTCTGTATGATGGGAGAGGTGCCGTCTCTGAGTGGGCGAGACAGAGGGTCTTGTACGCCGAGGCCGCATAACTGGACTTGCAACACTTGTTCGGTCCTCGGGATTCGAAGCTACCGATCGAGTCGTTTCGGTAAAGTTTCGAGGTTGGTTTGCCAATCTAGTCCGGAACGGGAAATTGGGTCGTTGCCGGTGCACCCCACGATGGTCCGCAACTAGGGAATCCCCATCATCGGGTCCATTGGCCGGACTAGAGCCAATCTCCTGCATCCAGTCTTTGATGACGTTATTGGTCTGGCGTTCATGCACAGTGCTTGGTGGTCCTCGCATTCGATCGTCACTGTATGGGCGTCGAAACACTTCCGCCAACGCTCGATCCTTCTGGTATGTTGCCACAGATGGCTCTCGCCTAAACACCGATGCACTGGTGCTGAAACCACGGAATCTACTGGGCTGCCATTTCTGGGCATGAGCTGGAGTTTCATTTTGTGAGGTGGGTTCAATTAGATCCATTGGCTGAACGACCCGAGAACAGAGGATTGTCTTCTCATAGAGGCAAATTGTGAACAATATGGGTAAGTGGGTTATCTTGATAATATACCGGTTGAGGCGAATGAATTCACGGAACGGCATCAGGTATCGGAATGGTGTCACTAGCCAAGCAATGACGTTTGTCGGAGCCACGTAGGAGAACAAGGCATCAGATTTGACCATCGAGATGGTATTGACAGCGAACAAGAATTGATGTTCCTGATTTGCGTTCTGGACAATCCTCATGAAGGAATTCGTCAGAACCGTGATCAAGATAGTAACGACGACGAAATGACAGATGAATAGGAAGACTGTCAGGATCGTTTTCCCTAAAAAGTTGTATTCATCCCACATTGCCCATGCAGTTGGCGTGAATCCCATTAGCATCTGGAACAAACCATAAGCCACCACATTGGGGGACTTGTTGTCTCCAAAGTATAAGAAAGAGACAAAAAAGCCAGAGCAAGAAATGACGATGAGCACGAAAACGGCAATCAGATCTGATGCCATTATTCGGAAAGCAATGAGGAGCTGGGAAAAGTAGCGATAGTGATCCAATATGGAGAACAACCTCGGAAATAACAAGGGAGCTGTAGCCGTAAGAACATCGAACTGAAATGAATTAGCATGTACCGATAAATGAACCTTCGTAAAGATAGAAAGACTTACGGCTTGGTCGGCGATGAACTGACTTCTAGGGTAGGTCAGGAATGTACCGTATATCCTCAAGCAATAGTATGCGAAGAGCAACAGCAGAATCCCGACATCAAACAGATTCCAGAAGCTCATCAGATAAAGACTAAACCCTTGCTCATTGAACCCAACAACCTCATCAAGCATGAATCCGGCACTCCAAAACCAGAATACAATCTCGAGGGGTGTGATCCTGCGGCTTCGCTGTTCCAGAACAGCCAGGAACAGGCCCAAGAGTACTGCAAAGGACAAGGTGGAAAGAAACTGTCGATAGCGCGGGACTCTCAGTCGTGATAATTTGAACAAAGATGCGTCTCGGGGGTTGTAGATTGTCACTGATCGCCGGAGTGTCTTATTGCTGGACTCGGTTGCAATGTCCCCATTGGGATCCATTGTTGTCCCATAGTCCAGGTTTCCACCTTGGTTCATGTTCACAGGACGATGAAGATTGTCGGCGGCAGAATGGAAGACGACTGTCCCAGCCCAGATAGCCTCCAATTGTTGCACCACGACGGGATGGGCCAAAAACCGTTTGGCTTGCGAGCGAATAGCGACCTCCAAGCATGAGACACGGGCAGCAACCACCCGTTTCCGCTGGGGTCCAGTGACTAGCGCCGTGGATTGGTCCTGGCCTTGGAGTGGATAGAACTCGTAGGACAGCGCATCAATCAATTCTCGGGTCGAGTATTCCCGCAATAGTTTTATCGCTAACAACTCACTGACCATTGCCCGCGTTTGATTTGCCCCGCTGTTCCCCGGACTTAGGTGTATTTCTCTCTCGAATTGTAGACAATTGGCCATCAACGCATAGAGGGTCGCGCGCGAAAAGTGGGCCGACATGATCTTTTGGAGGATCGGTTTGATCAGGAACTGGGAGACCTGCGGCGAGCGTAATTGGTCCCATGTTAAGGTGGTTTCGCAGCGGGAAGCGATCAGGGGACGAATGGCGTGGGTGATGTTGTAAACAGGCAGTGCGTCTATTCAGTTGGTCAATTGCTCGCCGTATGCGTCGTATCCTAGAGATCTCTTCGTACCCAAATGTGACGCAGAGAACATGGGCAATAGAGGAGTAGACTCCAGTGGTCCGTCTCCTGCGTCTTCGTCCCAGCCCTGTTCCATATCCTCTAGGTCGATTTCGCGAACCCCTGGCGCATCATCGCTACTTTCATCGGCTCGGGGACGCGTCGCGAGTTGTTATGCGCGGCACGAAAGCCCGGGGTGGGGGTCGAGAATGGGGACTGCTCGATCTGCCCGCGCTGGCGCTTTGGACGAAGCAGCGAGGCGAACATGGTGAGGAAATTTCAGAATCTAAATCAGCATAACTGAAGTTGTTGGGGAGGTGGATGTTAGATCATTGCGGAGTCAAACGCGAAGACGCGAGAAAATGAAAGAAATAAAAGAGCAGGAAAGCAAACGAAGTTCAAGGTTAGTCCAGGCCCAAGCGGGATTAATTTAGTCCAAAGATCGAAAGATAGTCCAAAGATAGTCCAAAGATAGTACGAATACTAGCACACTTATTAGTACTAGAGGGAAAATCTAAGCTCACATGTTTAACTCTCCCCCCACGTCATTGTACTGATTTACCCCAAGGTTCATTTCCTTATTTAATATTCCATTCTTTACCTATAACACACATAGATAGTAGGTATATGTTTAGAGATCTTTTGAATCTTTTAGACTAATATAGGTATTATATCTACCCATCAACTTGAAAGGATATGGATTTTTTTTTTTTTTTTTTTTTTTTTTTTTTTTTTCAGTCATGAATCCTGTTTCAACAATATGCAATGGATGTAGTACATACAGGAAGCCTATATGTACATAGAACACACTCGATAGGTCAGAAAGATTCGCCACATGTGCAACATTAATGGGATTACCAGCATTGTACTACATATTTATCTTTTTGAGA